TTCCTTTCCTTTCCTTTCCTTTCCTTTCCTTTCCTTTCCTTTCCTTTCCTTTCCTTTCCTTTCCTTTCCTTTCCTTTCCTTTTTAAACCCATCTGGTTTCCGCCGAGCCAAAATACCTAAGAAAATAAGAACAGGCATGTTTTAAAGATGGAATTTGAGGTCTTAATTGTCAACCGGTACAACAGTCTGCTTTGGACTGGGGGTCATTTAATCATGTCATTTAATTGTGGAATTTAGAAGAATACTGCTCTTGGATATGGAGGCTTGATTTAGCTGCAGCAGCTCTTTCAGCCGGTTGCAGATAGGGGAACTGCTAACAACGGGCTCATCATCCCGACGGCACAAGGAACAAACCAAATAATATTGCCTTGGGTCCGGTATTCTGTTCTTTAGATAAATTACAACTTCGGAACAAGCAGGATTGTTCTGTCCTCCCAAGCAGTCTTTAATTGAGCAGTTAAACGGTGAGCCAGTTTCTCACTGGAAAGCGACAGCGTATTTCCAGACGTGGGATACAGAGGCCTGGTTCGCGCAGGGCACGGGGCGGTAATCTTCCGATTGTGGCCTCTTCAAGCAAACGGGATTACGGCCGCCTGTAAATCCAGCCAGCGAGGCCCTGGGCGTGAAGCGGCGTGCTGATTTTACACATCTCGTTCCAGACGAGAAGGGAGAATTGTTAAACCCAACGGGCACGATCCAGACCAATCCCAACACGGAGAGCGCGGCCACGCTTGTCATCCGCTTCCCCGGCATTTCGTTGTATCCGATCTACTACCCTTCCCTGGAACAGGTGAGAGGACCACCTGCCGGTTTCCCTGCTGCTTTTCCGTGTGGTGGGTGATTGGAGCGAAGGGGCGCTCGGACAATCCGCCTCGTTCTCTTTGGTGTTAGCATGCTGAAAGTTGTGCCAAAAGGCGGGCGAGGGATGGGGAATCTGAACCCGAACTGGGTCGCCCGGTGCCCGGAGTAACAGAACGCAGGGTGGTTTTGCACGCTCCCAAAGGGGGTCCACACCATATGATCCGCCAAGATGTCACGTTTTCCGCCTGAAATTCAGTTTGTTCGTGTGAAAGCGTGACGCTGGGAACCTGTCAATTCCTTTTCTTCAAACGGGACCCTTCCAAAGCACGTGAATGATGCCTTTGAAGGTTTCTGGAAAATGTCAAGTTAAGGGAAGCTGGTCTTTTGGTAAAATGCAGTCTTGGGAGGGTGGGAGCAACTGATTGTCTCCTTGCCGAGCCCCAGGGACGGGACTAGCAGGGTGTTGGAAGAACTACGGATGGTTCTTCAAAGCAATTTACCATCAGCTGCAAAATTGGGATCCAGCAGGAAACAGCAGCCAGGGGTGTCCCAGATGATGGGAGAACGAAGAAAAGCCGATTAATTCAGCATTCTCTCTCGCTTTCCCGAAGGACAAAGAGCGTCCAAATACCATCTTTGCATCCTCTCCTTTTTCTGTTTCAGATCTTGGAGAAAGGGCAGAACGGCCATTGCGCCTACGGTACGGGAGAGGACCCAGAAGAGGTCAGCGCAAAACGGACCGTTTAATTCTCGGGGGTTCCTTGCGGGCGTTTTGGTCCGTGTCTGTGGTGCTGTGCAGAAATTCTGCTTGAAATGGGGGGGGGGGGGGGGGTGTGGGTGGGAAAAGAGAAAGGGAGGGGGGTGTCCTGGTTCACACCCCTTTCGAGAGTCCC